GGTAACGAGTGTCATTAATACACAACATGCCCAAGGCACGACGTTTAGCTTGAAATCAACAAAACCAGCCTATAATGCAACCTGACATCAACGAAAGAAGCTGTCCTCTCATGTCGGCATGATGCAGCTGGTCGCCATAATTCTGTTACAGTGCCTGGTGGTGTCAGGGGGAATGCAACAGGACAACAATCTAAGTTAAGGGGGCTGGCTGGAGAATTGTTGGATGGGTCCAACAACCACTGACTTTCACCCGAGAGGTCTGTGTTTGCGTCCCCTATGATTGTAAAGGCAAACCCTGCTCTTTTTCCTAAATCCAACCACGTGCTTTTGTTGCCTAAAGCCATACACGTACATGCAAAATGTAATTATATGCGTTTGTTGTTGAAATAAAATGTTAATTTGTGGTGTTGTACTGACGTAGTGCATTTATTTTGAAAAAGACTGTGCAAATGGTACATTTCCTGTGAAAAAGGAAATGGAGCACAGCCGTGATGTTGTCGGATCTTGGTCTGAGCTGGCCCAATTCCTTGCTATGATTGGCCAGCCTGCCTCCAGTGGTGAGGCTTTGTGAAGGGTCAGTTTCAATATGTTTATCAATTATTATGGTTTATTGACTTGAAATAATGAAATGATATCACAATGAGCAAAAATACTAACATATGTACTGGTGGACTGTTTCTATGGCAGAGTTCAAGGGGTTCATAGTTTTTAGACACAGTGGAGCTTTATGGCACTGAGGAAGAGGATATATTAGACTGTGACATACACAGTATTTGTAAATAGACACATTCAGTGTGGGTTTTAGTCTTTTCATGGGATTTGTTAAAAACCTTATTCTTTGAAACTAGAATGGTATTTGTCATTGGTTAGTGTTCAGGTTCAGTAATGACTGTGAATAATAGTTCCACATCGCAAACATATTCTATGAAGTTAATGTCTTCCCATCCAGAATAATAAGGGAATAAGATGTGTGTGCCCACGTCATGAACACTAACAGTGTCTTTTCTGTTTGTCTCTTTTGATAGATTTAATAATTTAGTCTCAACCAGTTGGAAAACTGGTGCAGGCTGGCATCTCAATTATCCTAAGAAAACTAAGGGCTCTAGTTTCCCGGCGCAGCGCAGATGGTGCAGGGTGGCGAACCCCGCGCAGAGCTAGTTTCGAGCAGCGCAACCTGAGGCGAGCTCAGTTTGGTAGTTCGGCAGACCGAGGTGCGCTGAGATGGGTGTGGCGGCGCAGCAGGGGGCAGTGTCGACAGATCCAGCTTGGTGCAGTGACAGTTTCGTGCCAAAAGGCTTCGCCGAAGGTGCGCTAAAAGCTCGCCATCTGAAACCAGGTCTACTGTCAGCGCAGGGGGAGCGCAGCCAGTGTAAGCCGAAGTTTGGCTGACCGGCAGACAGTGCGCACACGTCACCAAAACCTCACAGGCAGGTTTCCAGAATATCAGGCACATTAACGATGCAATAAATAGCCACAAAAAACACTATTCAATGCAACTATCTGCAATCAGCACATAAATGTATCTCTATATCGACTGTCCCATCACATCTGATGTCAGATCAAAGGGAATTGGCACCTGATTTGATCAACACAGCTGCAAAATAATAAGTTCACAGCCCTCTCAGCCAACCACAAACAGCCACAGCATCAGATAGGGAGTATATATTCAGCATCTGTCATCTTAGAAAAGTCAATAGAAAAGAAACAGAGTGAGACTGCGAGAGAGAAAGAGAGAGCGCGCGCGCACGCACGAGAGAAACGCAACATTGATTTACAATTGTGGTGACCTCCTCCCAGGCTACCTTTGCATCATCAGCCCGTGGAGGTCTGCTCGCAGTTCCGTATATTCGGACACTGCGAGGTTGGACCTCCCGGACCAAAACATCAGTTTCCTCCTCCTGGGAGAAGTTTGGCCATCTGACGCTGCTGCTCTCTTCTGCCATGGCAAATTGAGTAAACTCTCATTACACCTTCGCGCGGCGCATTTAAGGGCGAGGAGAGGGGCTCATCTGATTGGTGTGATGTGTGTAAAACCCACTCCACGCCTTCTCTCCTCCCTCTTTCCAACTTGCGCCGGTAGGAGGGACAGATGGAAAGAGGAGTAGCTGCGCCAAGGCGCACGGTGTGCCAAACTTACAAAATCCGCCTGGCCACACCCAGTTGGCGAAGCGCAGGTGCGCTGCGCCCGGTCTGCGAAACTAGAGCCTTAAGTGTCACTAAGCCACTAAGTGTGGTAATACAATTAAGAACATTAAATTTGTGAGCAAGTGCCATGAATTCGAGGTAAGGGGTGACGGTGTCAAATATGAGTTCAGTTTAAGAGTTGTGTAGTGAGTGGGCAAACAGATATTACGTATGACAGAGTCACAAGTGACCTCACAATGGGACCTTACAGTGCCCATACTCACACACACGCACACACACCAATAAGCACACATACTCATTGAAAGCTAGTGGCTGGCACTGCCAACCTTGGCACTGGAGAGAGAGGCCCTAGGGAGTGAGCCAGACTACCCGGATCTTCCTGCCCCCTTTTAGCCTTTAATTTACCCCAAAAGCCCCCAAACACCCTTTCTGGTTTGTTATTAAGTGAAACTGGTCAGAGCATTGACCTGAACCCCTGCTCACACTCACAAAAAAGAGGAATGCTCAGAGTAGATGAAAGCAAAGCAAATCAAACCTCTCTCTGTTGAAGACTATTCAGAGAGTCCATCAAAAGGAGCTCTGGAGCCATAAATCAGACTTCAAAGATTGTTCTATCCCATCATGAGTCCCTTCAGAGCACCATGAATGATGGTGTGTGTATTTCTGTCACAATGACAAATGATGACTTCAGGTTCCTGCTCAGGCTGTTGCTCTGCAGCTCTTTTTGAAGTCATTTTCTTTTTTCTAACACATAAAGTCACATTCTGCTATATTCTAGTTCAGCATGACATTTATTCTTGACAGCGGAAACAATAATTTGACAAAAGAATCCTAACTATTGGTATGATTGCTCATGGTCTGAAGCCTTTAAGACCATGACGTGTGAGTGAAAGCTCTGGAAAAAGCTAAACCATTTATTCTGCTCTCTTCTAATCTAATTATATTCCTGATATTGGAAATAATAGTTTGATAAGATTTTTTCTAGAACTTAAGAGAGTGGAAGAAGTTAGTAGATGGGCCATGAGTTAATTTTTTTTTTTTTTTTTTTGTCAAACTATTCTACTATTCTGGAAACGGTTGTCTGAAATAAAAATCTTAACTCAAGGTCCACTTAATGGTTTTTTTTTCTGGAGCTTTGAAAGCTCCAGAAAATAAGTAACATTTGTCACTTAATTTATGTTTTTTTATTTGTTTGTTTAGGTCAATCTATTTTAGTAGAATACACAAGTTCATTCTTGACCATGGAAAGAGTTTTCTGAAATAAAATGTTTTTCTTGAGGTCTACTTACTAGGTTTTTACGCTAGCTTTGAAGATAATGAGATGCATTTGAAAGCTCCAGAAAAAAAGAAGACACATTTGGAAGCGCACTGTTTGTTTGTTTTTTGGTAATCTATTCTGTTCTTTTCTATTCTAGTGAAGCAGACCAGTCAATTCTTGACCAGGGAACAGTAGATTTTACAAAAAAATGTCACTGAAGGTTCTCTTGATAGCTTAGTTTTTAAGTTTGATAGTTTTTAGGACAGTGAAATGTAACTGAAAGCTCGAGACAAAAGCAAAACTATTGTCACCCTTTTCTGTTCTATTTTATCAATCCCATTCAATCTAATTGAATTTAAAAGTCCATTCCTGACTTTGAAAAAGATAGTTTGAAAAAAAACAAACAAACAAACAAAAAAAACACCCCTGGAATAAATCTAGTGAGGGGACCTGTCTTGACCTTCACCTGTTCAGTGATGTTGTGCTTGTGGCTTTGGTGTAATTTCATTCTTGCGTCTCTTCTGTGATGTATAAACACTAACACTTCAAGTCCTTGTTATTTGAAGCTAATGCCTGAGCCATGGCTGATAAACCTGTATGAAAGGCCCTGTTAAGTTTACATTAAAAACCACATTAGTCAGCTTTGTTCATCAGAATCAAGATGTAGGACTTTGCATGTTTTCCGCTGCTACTGGGATTTCAACAGTCCCCTCGCTTGATGTAAACAAGACACACTACATCAGTACTTTGACAGTATCATTAAGTGCTTAGCATTGCTTTGCGTTAACATGTTTGTGAGCGGCTGTGTTTGAGGCAGCAATGTCTGATCGCTCTGGCGACAACCCCGTGAAAACAATCTTGCTTTGTGACAAAGCCACACTAATCCCACTGTGTGAAACATGTAAAGCAGGCCCTCCTACAGCTGCTCTGTGTGAGAGGGAGAGTTGTGTGTTTCATCTGTGGTTATTCCACCTACAGTAATTGTGTGTGCGTGCAGATATTGTGTATTTCTACATATATATTTGTGTGTGTGTGTGTGTGTGTGTGTGTGTGTGTGTGTGTGTGACTGTGTGTCTGTGTGTGTGAGTGAGTGAGTGTGTGTGTGTGTAAATATGTGCAAATATGTTCCTCCCACTAAGTTATGTGTGTTGAGGCCTATGTGGGCAGCACATTAGATTTTTGAGAAGGCAAAACCACACTGGAGAAGATTTACAGGATCATTTAAGGTCCCAGAGCTTGGCTGAGAAACTCACCTCTGGAAAAGAAAAAAATAGAAATACCCTGCTGGAAAAAAGGGCAGTGGTGAAATCTTCCTAATGAGCTTTCTTTCAGAAATGCATGTGGTCTCCCCTCAGCCCTTCATGGCGTGTGTAGCTTCATTCCATTATAATCATCACTTCAATGTCCAGAAATGTGTGTTTTATTCCAAGTGATGAACTAAAAGAATCTATTTGTTTTCCTATCTCCTCACCACTTTCTTTCCTCCTCCTCTTTTATTTCTCTCCTACCTTTCTTCCATATATATCTTCTATTGTATCTCTTCACCATTCTGTGGTCCCCTCTGCAATCCCTGTCTCCTTTCCTTTTCTTAATCTAGTCCACATCCAGACATGTCGGGCCCTTATGGTAGTGTCAGTACTGCTGGGTTTTATCGCCATCATCGTCAGCGTGGTGGGCATGAAGTGCACCAAGGTGGGCGATAATAACCCAGCTACCAAAACTCGCATCGCCGTGACTGGAGGAGTTCTCTTCCTGCTTGCAGGTGGGATTTCTGTTGTGTTCTGTATATGCTCTTTCAAACAATAATAAACTGCAGTAGGCTATCTCCTGCAATGACTGCATTTAGCAAGAGTAGTCTGGTATTTTTCTAGCCTAAATCTCTCACTGGGGGTCTTCACTGTAATTAGAGTCCCTGCCGTAAACAGGAAGTGGTCATTTTAGAGGCATTAGTTACTGACCTCAGACATAAACCACAAGCCCAGGGGACAAAATTAACTGAATAAGGATTCCCCAATTCATTTGTGTGTTGTTTTAACTGCAGTGAATGCTTGCAGGCTTTACTGATTCAGAGGACTAATGCACCCTTATTAATCTTTTCTCCCTCCACAGGTCTATGTACGCTGGTGTCTGTGTCCTGGTATGCCACTCAGGTGTCCTATCAGTTCTTCAACCCAAATACACCGCCCAATGCCAGGTATAAAAAAAGAACTGCTGACAAACTCTATAGCTCAACAATTTGACTCAGACAGGAGATTATATATGCATACTATCCCTTTCTTTAAATCAGAATGCTGTGGCCCCTAAAATGGTCTGAGAAATGAGGGAAAAGGGAATTTTCTATGTCAAGCATGGGAGCCTTGTTAATAGGCTAACTGATGGCAAATGAGACACATTTTATTCAGCATGTATATGTGCCATTGAAATGCTTACTGTCAAAATGATTTAAACTGGCTGACAAAAGGGATTTTTTTGTATACAGGCTATTTTGTATGGAACTGTTTTGAGGCACTGGGCAAACGTTGCCGGTTTCATTCCATAATCCAACCATCAAATTATCCATTGGAGGTTTTGTCACAGGGTCAACACGACACAATCTAATTGGTTAACCTCTATTTATTTGTGTGGAATTGTGTGGAAAATGGAATACTGGGTACTGCTATGTAAACACATTATTGTGTTTACCTTGCCTTGTGACAAATCCAAGAGTGATTGAGCCTTTGAACAAAACCCTCTTCATTAAAGTTGTCTTTCTACTGCATCTGAATAACCAAAGGTATGAGGTATACAAAATTTTAAAAGTTCTGCTTCATTTGAGTCATTTTCCATATAATGAGACAACAAAGTGTTTGATGTTTGTTTGAATTGTTAATGAGAAGAGATTGATTTTGCAGGGGTAGAAAAGAGAAACTGAAGATGTTGTCTGCCTCCAAAGTAGCCTAATAGTGATCTGTTGAAATTGTATTGTCTGATGTGTTATTCCTGTCTATGGCTTGCTGACCCACTCTCTTTTTATCTTGTTCATTGACATATTTCACAACTTTTGCTGTAGCTCATATTGTACAACCACTCTGAAGCTGGATATGTAACAGCTGTTTTACATTTAAATTAATTTCCATCCCTTGCCCTAATATTGATACTAGTGACAAACAGTGGGCCAAATGCATCTACCCTAAATCAATGCTGTGTTGTTACAGCAGTTTAAGGGCCCTATTTAGATGGTCTAAAGTGGACGGCGGACAGCGTGCGGCGCATGGGCGTGTCCCAGTCACTTGCTAGTTAGACAGCGCGTTTTCAGACTGTGCGCCATGGCGGAGAGTCTAAAAGGGTTGGACTTACTCTGTGAATTAGTCATGGGTGTGTTTTGGGCGTATCATTCCATAAGCCAATAAGAGTGTCACCTCTCATTCCCTTTAAGAGAGGCGCAATTGGAGCGCACAGCGGAGAGCTAGTTAGATGGCGGACCTACCAACTGGAAAGAGTGAGCGCTTTACAGCTGAGGAGACGATAAATGTATCTCTATATCTACTGTCCCATCACATCTGATGTCAGATCAAAGGGGATTGGCACCGCTGCAATCTAATAGGTTCACATCCCTCTCAGCCAACCACAAACAGCCACAGCATCAGATAGGGAGTATATATTCAGCATCTGTCATCTTAGAAAAGTCAAAAGAAAAGAAACAGAGTGAGACTGCAAGAGAGAAAGAGAGAGCGCACGCGCACGGGAGAAACGCTGTCAACAAATTGTAAGTTATTCAATTTTATTTTAACCCGGAGGTTAGAGAGCCCATCTCCCTCTCCAGCATCCTGAACCCCCCCCGCCTGAAGGTGCAGAAAGGGCTGGTCCCGTGGCTGCACCAGGGTCTGTCTGGTTTGGCTGCGCGGGCTGCGGAGCTTCCCCCGGGTGCCCCCGGCTGTGCGGCGGGCTGTGCGGCCGCTGTGCATCCTCCTCCTCCTCCTGACAAGATGATCTTCAGTTTTACGTTATAAAAACTTTCTTTTTAAATATAGCTACATTTGTAGCCTATGTGGCTCTAAGTTTACGTTTTTAGTTCACAGAAGCTGGTTATTGTTGTGTTTATGTCAAAATAAAGTTTATGAAACGTTTTCACATCTTTAATTTTGTGATTTACATGCCAAAATGATCACAATTCATTTGGGAAAGACAAGTTCATTTTACAGGCTATGCATCATCAGCCCGTGGAGGTCTGCTCGCAGTTCCATATATTCGGACACTGTGAGGTTGGACCTCCCGGATTATGATGATCATTATTACTGCGATTAGATCGTTCTGATTAATGACTGACCATTAAGACGTGTTTCTGATAAATATTTAAATGTGCACAATAATAACCTTTCACATTGTAATCATATTTTTATTTGTTATCTTTTGCATATGTGTGGCTGCTCCGTGTGTGTCTGAGCAGAGTGCATGCGCGTTGTGCACCCGCCTAGAGACGCATATTACTAACTTGTTTAACATCGAAATATTGCACCGTTGACTTTAGACCAGGTTTTTGTTGGTCACCGGCGCATTTGCTTTTTACGTCATCTAACTAGCAACACGCCATGACTGCGCCTGACCACTCCTCATTTTTGGACCAACACACCCAGAGAAGCATACATTCATTTGCTAGTTAGACAAAGAGGGCGCAGGGCGTGAAAATGACAACTGCGCCGGCATCTAAATAGCAATGACACTTGCGACATGGATTATGCGCTGTCCGCCGTCCGCTTTAGACCATCTAAATAGGGCCCTAAGACTTGAGTTCAAACGTCATAGATGTTCAGTGCTGCGGAATTCATCTTGAGAGTTAAAGAACTATTGGAAAGTAATACATGAGGACCAGGATCTTTTTAGAGGCAGGAGCAACAAACTGAGAGCAAAACTGTAAAGTGTTTCCTGTTGTTGAAGTGTTGGTAATAAACACGGCTAGTTTTAGCTGCCAACATGTTCTTTTTGTCTTATAAATATAGCTACCTCTAGCTGTTCATGCTTTTCAACTGTGACTTATAAACATGGCTAGCTTTAGCTGATAACACTTTATAATTGTGACTTATAAACATGGCTAGCTTTAGCTGCTAACACTTTATAATTGTGACTGAGAAACATGGCTAGCTTTAGCTGCCAACACTTTCTCACTGTAACTTTTAAACATGCTTATAACTATAGGACAGCTAAGTGTGAAGGGGGGAGAGAGAGCGAGAGGGAATGACATGCAGCAAAGGGCCACAGGCTGGAGTTGAACACCAGCCACTGTGGCAGCAGCCTTGTACATGGTGCGCCTGCTCTATCCACTAAGCCACCGATGCCCCACTGCTAACACTTTTTAACTTTGAGTTATGAACATAGTTAGCTTTAGCTGCTAACGCTTTCTAATTGTGACTTATAAATATGGCTAGCTTCAGTTGCTAGCACTTTCTACTTGTGACACTTATTGATTTTGACTTATGACTAGTTTTAGCAGCTAACATTAAGGTTGATAACTGTCCAGCTGTAGCTGCTAAGAGTTCCTACTTACTGTTGATAGAAATGTCTTACATCAGTGGCTAACAGTTGACAATTAAGGTTATGCTTGGTAAACAATGCTTGCTTTAGCTGCTAACATAAATATGGCTAGCTTTACTTACAACACACAGTTGTATCAAGGCCTATTTTTGTTCAGAGCATATCATTGTTTTGGTAGTAGCTATCTAAAACAGCAAAACAGTATCCTTTTTTTTTTTTAATGTATTTATTTTTTTTAATTTTACTCCTGAATGTGTTTCCTACCATAAAATAAAATTATTTTTATCCATGCCAGTGTAAGCTACTTTCCATTTTAACATGTAGTGAGATGAAGATGAAGACTACGACATAAAAGGTTAGGCCTATCTTATTTTGGAGGTGCCTTTGACCCATATGATATATGTATAAAGAGAAGTGGATACAGCATTGGAGGCAGGAACCCTTTTGTTATAAAAGTTGCTCTGTGGTGCATGAAGCACATTCAACTTCCATGTATGAAATGTCCTGCTTCCACATCATTGGAAAACAATGATATTTACCACTAACTTGAAAGGGAATTAAACAATTCAGTCATATGGCACACACTTTCCAAATATTGTCAGACCAAATGAATCAAATCCTGATTGTAAATCGAGTCATTTTTTAAATCTCAAAAAAAACCAAACAAAAAAACAAAAAAAAAAACCCACTGATTTTCGGACATCTCTTTCACAATGTATGTCTATGGGAAAAAATCATTTTGGGGCCCATGGCATTATGTGACAGACTTAGATTTTGTAATTCCAAAGTTTGGTCACTGCGAAATTCAGCTGCAAAGCTCAGCACACTTCCTGGGTGTCTGCTTTGCCGTCCCTCAGAGGTGGGCCTATTAAAAATGTGGAAATACAGAGGTGGCAGGGGAAAGATCTCGAGACAGGCAGTGTCACACTCTCACAAACATCAGGTTTTTAAGTAAAAGTATAATATCTTCCATACAGGCTACTGTGTTTAATATTCTTTGATATTTCCAAGTCTTGTTTTTGATTTCTAATGAGTTAGAGCTAATGATAAGAACATCTTGATGGCAGTGGAAACAGTCAAATCTCTGAGACTCACAACCTTGTCCTCTCAACAATCTTTTTCTCTGTCTTTCTTCCACAGGTATGAGTTCGGCTCAGCCCTGTTTGTGGGCTGGGCGGCAGCCAGTCTGACGGTCCTGGGGGGCTCCTTGCTGTGCTGCTCCTGCTCTAAAGAAGATATGCGAGGGCAGCAATATTATCGCCAATCACAGCCTTCCACAGCAAGGGAGTACGTGTAAACCCCACCCCCTTCCAGCAACCACTCAAACAGAGAGCATCGGACACACTTGGCAGAACCCCCCTTTATCCTCAAATTATATCTGCTAAAACAAAACAAGACTATCATGTGTACATACATGCAATTATCACAGTGATGTAGTATTTAAACACTGGCATACACGTGCAGACACAGGTACTCACACGATATTTCACACAACACATTATCCACCAGTTGCATGTATCTTGGTGGCTAAAAAGACTGCCAACTTTAATAAATTAATTGTGAGCAGACAACTTACATATTTCATGTCAATCATCCAGCTTACTTATATAATGACATAGTGCTTGCAGTTGTGAATGGAAACCTCCCATGTGCCGTAAGACCTTTACACACCAGGGCCATGACAAATAACAGGAAAATGCAAAATACTCGCGTGCATATATTTTTCAACAAAACTATTCATTTTATCTTGTTTCCTTTATGCCAAATACTGAATGGATTTGAGTTCCCTCTGGTTAACAGTTGCATTGTATATGTCAAGGGCTTTTACTGTGAAAGGTAAGAACAGAGGGAGTGGATCTGGTGTTCGCTGGTATGAGTTTGCCATCTTGGTTCAGACTACAGAGCTTCCATCTTTGTTGTTATATAATTCTGAAAGGTACAGGCGCAACATGATTGATTGATGCGTTTATTGGTGGTGCAAAAGCTCAGAAAAATTGACCTTTTTCTGATTTGTTTTTTTAAATTCTGTCACTGTTTCGTCATGTGATATTTCCCTTTATCAGAGTTCTCATAACATAAACAACAATTTGAAAAAAATAGTCAGGTGTGAATTAATCACGCGTGCACAAAAACAAAAAAAAACAAAAAACACCCTGAGTGTATAAAATCCATTAGCGCCATTATTTTATCTATTTGAAATGAGTGCAGCTGGTCAGTCTGACCCCAAAAATCATTACCACTCACTCTGAGTCATCCACTTTAAAGTACAATAGAAAAGGAAACAAATCAAAACACCGAAGGGCAAAATGTAAGGTGTATCACAGCAGATACCCAGAGAGAACGGACATGGAGCTAAAAATACTAGTACTGCAAAACTTGCTGAACTTTTATCAGCATGTCCTATGCTTCCTGGTTGGTGCTGCATCTGTGTTTTACCTTAATATTGCTTTGTGTCTTCATACTCCACTGGTGCAGTTTTGTTGTGAAAGGGGAGAGTCCTAAATCACTGTGCAAAAACTTGGAAGTTACAGAGCAACTTCCTGTGCTCTTGCAGCAGAAACAGAGGATTACTTGTACAATGTCACCCAAGAGAATGGGTCAGTTAGACTTTGATCACAGAGGACACTGATTTCTTCTGCTCAAACTTTAGGAACAGCTGCAGGTTACAGAGCGCAAGAGAGGGACTAGGCAGAGGAGCTCTCAGAGTTAGTTCTAGCCTACTGTGGTGCAACTATCCACTTAACAGTACTGTACCTTGCATGAAGCAAAAAAAGAAGAATGATGTACAAGAAAGTGAGCAAGATAAAATGAACTGTCTAAATGTGCTTGATGAAAAGTTTGAGGAGCCCATTCTAAAGCAAAAAATGGAGACCAGGCCCAGCTAGAAGTTTAGACATACAGAGGTCTAAGGCCCTGTCGACATGTATACAAAAACTGATATTTCCCCCCTTTGGTTCAAAAAGAAATAAATCTGTCTACAGGAATTTCATTTTACATTACATTATTGTACACACTAGAAAGCAGCAACGACTCCAAAAACCTGCTGGCATTAGCTGTCTTGCCCAGCCTCCCCTAATTGCAAAGTAATAAAGTGTACAACCTACCTTTTTCAAAACACCTACTAGAGATCTCTTCACCAATAATTCACCTTTGATATATGGATGAAGGAGCTTGCTCAAAGATACAAGTAATGGTAAATGGACCTGCATTTTGTACTGTATAGTGCCTTTCTATTCATCCGACCACTCAAAATGCTTTTTACACTTTGGCCTCTAGTTTCCCGGCGTGGCGCAGGGTGGCGAACCCTGCGCAGAACTAGTTTCGAGCAGTGCAACCCGAGGCACGCTTAGTTTGATAGTTTGGCAAACTGAGGTGCGCTGAGATGGGTGTGGCGGCACAGCAGGGGGCGGTGTCGACAGATCCAGCTTGAAACAGTGACAGTTTCGTGCCAAAAGGCTTCGCCGAAGGTGCACTAAAAGCTTGCCAGCTGAAACCAGGTCTACCATCAGCGCAGGCGAAGCGGAGCCATTGTAAGTGGAAGTTTGGCTTTACTCCTGGGAGAAGTTTGGCCGTCTGACTCTGCTGCTCTCTTCTGCCATGGCGAATTGAGTTAACTCTCATTACGCCTTTGCACGGTGCATTTAAGGGCGAGGAGAGGGGCTCATTTGATTGGTGTGATGTGAATCGGATGTGTAAAACCCACTCCACGCATTCTCTTCTCCCTCTTTCCGACTTGCGCAGGTAGGAGGGATGGAGGTGGGAAAGAGGAGTAGCTGCACCAGGGCACACGGTGTGCCAAACTTGCAAAATCTGCCTGGCCACACCCAGTTGGCCAGTTGGCCCAGTTGGCCTTGTCCAGTCTGCGAAACTAGAGGCCTATGAGTCACATTCACCCATTCATACACACATTCATACACTGGTGACCAAGGTTACCATATGAGGTGCCACCTGGTACTCAGTTTTTAAATACACACACACCGATGCAGTTTGGGGTTCAGTATCTTGCTCAAGGATACTTCGACATGCAGACTGGAGGAGCTGGGGATCGAACCACTGATCTTCCGATTGTCGGACCACCCCCTCTACCTTTGAGCCACAGCCACAGAGCAATGCCCTAGACTCATCGACACCATCCACACTCTCAAAATTGTCCCACCATCTGCAGCTTTGATCAGGCTTTATGACAAAATTTAGACCACAGGTGGACCAAGTAACACTGAGTGCGTTTACATGACATTAGAGAAAATTGATTTATAGTGTTAGTCTGACTAAATCAAGTTTTTCAAAGACAGACTAACACACTCAGATAATGTGTTTGGGAGTCAAATTACTCCTGCATGTATACAGTCAATCGGACCCACACTGGCATAGGCGCTCTGCATGTGTAACAGAAGAAGAAGCCAGTAACAACATGACGAAATCTACATCCAGAGCTGTGCATTTTTGGACAGACAAAATGTACAGAGCTGAAAATTGTCCACCGTGGTTTGCCGCTTGCTAACCATAGGTAACTTGTTTGTCGATTGTTTGGTCTGTGACGTAATATGTCAATTGAAAAGGGTCCAATACTAACAAGCTGAAAGGAGCCACCTATCGTAGCAGAGTCGGACATACTTTGGTCAATAAATTGATTACTTTCCTGTGCTTGTATACTGGGACACGGACAGTGTTCCAATTAAATGGCCTAGTCAAGCTTTAACCGTAGCTCCACTTTACTGTGCATGTAAACATAGTCTAATAATACTGCAGGGAGGAAGAGTAAAAGCAAAAACAGTCACAGCGAGATGTTAGAATCAGAACTGCAGACAAAAGGCTCTTACTGCACCTCTGCAAACAGCCCACCTCCAACAGGTAAACTTCTTTGTACCTGCCATGCTGTGCGATGAAAAAACACATGCAGCAAAAATAACGGGACTTCAGCTATAGATCAGCCTGCTGCTTTTAAACGTCACCACTCAAGACAAGCTGTCATCAGTTTAAGACACACCTTCAAGTGGGTAGCCCTGTTGTTATGGAAATGCAAAACCCTGTCTCATTGTGCTAATGGCCCAAATTAAACCAAACCAAACCAAACCAAGCAACTAAGAAAATACATTGGACATGATCTCAGTAGCTACAGCCTGATGAAGACAGCTGATGTGTAATTAAACAAACCCAAATTACAATAAAGAAGCAGGTGTGTTCACTGTCCTGTGTAATCAAGGCCTCAGGCAGCCATTTTGTAACAGCTGAGGAACTTCCTCACATAAAAAGATCTAGTTCTGTTTTTCACAACAATCACTTGATGAGGGCTGTGCATGAAGACACAGTGTGAACTGCAGGAGTGGAGGTGAATTGTTAGTAAAAGGTATCTGCTGAGTTTGACTGAGTATGAATGCTGTTAATTATCATTTCACTATTTTGCACTAAGAAAAAGTGTAGGTTCTCATCACACATCACCATACTCCATTTACTAACACCATCATTCCAGATCATACGCTCCTTCATATCATAATCTCTTGTATAACTACACCAATGTCTATGATCTAAGCTAATTCATGTACTTCTCACACAGGTGTAATCTCACTAAGGATTATAAGATATAAAACACCAGCACAGTATCATTACTTGTCAATAGACTATAAGCTAACATGATGCTTTAAACAGAGCTGTAAATATAAACCATGTCATATTTAACTTTACTGCAGTAGAAGTATCACTGACTTCCCCACGAGGATGAATTACAATCCTGCAGCATTTTAAAAAATTGCGCACCACATTATAGGCTGTAAAACTCAACAGTGGGCCATAATTGGCTCTTGAACTCCCGCTTGATGCTCTCACATCACATTGCCTTCATTTGTGTTTCCAAAAGAGCTGTTCCAGATAATAAAGCCATTCACTTTTCTTAGAATCGCTCCCAGTCCCTCCATTTCCCAGTCGTATGGCCTCTCTTCTTGGTAGACACTTATTTGTTGAGTGTTCTGTTATTGTCAGACTAGGGGGGTTGTAGGTCTAAAGAAAATTCCTTGTGCCCTTTAAATAAAGGGGGGCATAAGGGTCACTACTCTTGTCATTAGCAGCTGTGCTTTGAATAGTGATTGCTCAACAAGAAGTCTGATCAAAACTACATGTAAAGCTGTCCAAAGAACAGAAAACATACATTTAAAGTAATAATTTGACATATTGGGAAGTTATTCCTTTTTTGCCGTAAGTTAGATAAAAAGATTAATGCCACTCTTGTATTTGTCCAGTAAACATGAATCTGACATCACCTCCCATGCTCCTTCTCACTGACTTTCCATCGTTTTACTAACATCTTTATAATCATCAAACATCCTGCTTTCTTTCTAACACTTCATAGCTTTTGTGAGAATCTGAGAGCTCTTGATGTGTCTCTTATTTCCCCTCCTGTCTTCTAATCCTGTTCTTCTCTGACTGTCTTCTTCTCTCCTCTAATTCAGGGCAGAGTTGTTGAGTGAAACTAGTTTCCCTGACTGATCAGCCCCCGCCTTTTTATCGAGGACTGCCCGACTGTCCAACCACTGTCTTTCCCCTCTTTTTCCTGTTATCTATTAGACCCCAAATTTGGACCTCATGTAGTAAAATATTCCCCTGTCCTCAGCACTACAACTGCACATTATCAGTTCTAATGGGGACCAATATGCGTTGTCTTCTCCCATTTCCCTACCTTCTGAGCCTTCTCTGTAAATATGGACTCTTAAAGGATATGTGTTCAGATCTTCTATTTAAGAACTGAGGTGGCCTTCTCCATTTCAGCCCTTCATCCCTCTACTACACCTCCAACACCCTTCTCTGTCTCATCATTGGCTGAAAGTTAACAATGAGTTGAAACCCTTTGTGGTTCTGTTGCGCTGATTTATGATTTCACTTATATCCTATGACCTCTGGGTGTTTTTGTAAATGTGTCTTTTGGGTTTATTTTGTGCACTGTGACTGTACTTTGACTGAAACATGTCTTTCTTTCCCTTTTGAATTGCAGACCAAATGTTAAAAGTACCCCACCAGAGAAAAGGGAGCAGTACTTGTAGTTTGGGAGAGTCTTCTGGCCTTACCATGGTTTAGATTCTGTCAACAGACAAAACCCTCTCACTGAGGAATTCAAAACAGACAAACAGACATCTTTAAAGAAAGAATTTATGAACAGCAACATTTCAAGCATATTGCAACAACATAAGTCTAACATGAGTCTTTGTTGGAGAAATGTGTAGTAGATTTTCTGAAATAGGGTGATTGAGAAAGATGATATGCTTGTCTTGTCTGTTTTGTTGACTTTGGGAGAGACAGTGATTCAGGGTATGTTTTCTATAACATGTTAAAATGCCCGGGTGTATATACCACCTACTCTATTCTTTTTTCTTATTTTTTTTACTACATATATAATGTTTAACTACAGTGCCTTGTAACACATGTTTGTGCACATGTATGTTTTTGACTTCATGGATTCTTTATAGTCTCCCATCTTATCTGAGGGATGTGTGTCCAAAGTTCCTCTGCCAGCAGTTCTGTGTGCCTTTTTCTATTGTTGGATTTCTGAAAATGAATGTGAAGCTACTCTACAGTACCAGTTATGAGACAACAAAGACATACAGACGATAAATCTTCAGCATAGTGCCTTATGTCACTGTTTGGAATAAGCTGTGTGCCTGCTTCCAAGTAGCCTGGATTGAGGATATACCAAGCACATTCATTTCCTTTTGTTAAGTGCCAATATGATTTGTGTGAATGACAGAGTCACTGTATTACTGACTCTGAAGGATGCACTGTACTGTTTGTTGTCTCCTGTACTAAGGAATGCCAGTTTGCTGAGTGTTCAAATGCCCTTTTGATGCTTGCATTTATTTACCATGCCATTCCTTTCTCTAATATTTACCTCCTCAGTGTTGTGTATCATCTCATTTACAGTATACCCCTGTCTGTTTCTTTTAGAATAAAGTAAACAGAGACATAAAAATGGCTTTGGTTATGAGTCAGTGTTTTATTAGTTGTTTCCTAACTTTACACCCTCGCCTGACTTTTCTCCCACTCCCTCTGACTCGTTCCTCCTCTCCAGCTCAAAAACTTCTTTTGCACCCTGTTGTTCAGTAATTGCAGACGTGGAATTCCACTTCTGCTCCACTGGACTGTGGCACATTCTCAAAGGTGGATGCACAAAGTTAACTTGCTTACCACTGCTACAGCTGATAACAAGGCTCGGAATTTCTTCTTGTATTGAGTTTCTGCTATAAAACATTTGTTAAATCACAAGCTTGGATTGGGGGTCAGCCTCTATCTGACTAGATGCAGTGAAGTTTTGTGAGAATCAAAAATGTTACATTCCAGCTGGCAAAACTATCTCTATATTGAACCCCAAAAGGTTAATGGATAGGTTTAGATTTTTTTCAAGTCAGTCTTAACACATCACATGCCATAGACTGGATGTAAAGATGGACGATGCATTTCCACTTTCTCTCACTGTACAAAAATGAAGCCAAAATATCTTGGATACGGCTGCTGCCATCTTTTGCTGGTGATGTCAGTTGGAGCCAGAGTCTGTGCAGTAGCAATCTTCACTAGTATTGAGTTCCTGCCCAAACACCCGTCAGCACCATTGATCACGAGCACACTGATTGGCATACACAGCTGTCAATCATGACCTCAGTTTTCCCTTTTTTAACATAGAATTTTGAGTTATAACCAAACTTACCAGAAAAAAAAATGAAAACTTTAACAAACATCAGCATAATAAGAATGATCTAAATGACAGAAACCATCTTCTGTTTGATGTGTAGGCTGTAGGTCCATGTCCCATCTGCTAACATGGATGTTGCGGGATTTGACCTATACTACAGCCAGCCACCAGGGATTGAGATAGTTTGGCTTAACTTTTAGGGAGCTGTTATGTCGTCCATCTTCACAGTGGCATGCTAAAGTTTGGGCACCCCTGGTCAAAATTTAATTTACTGTGAATAGTTAACAAAGTAGAAGATGAACTGATCTCCAAAAGACATAAAGCCAAAGATGAAACATGCTTTTCAACATTGTAAGCAAGATTACTGTATTATTTTTGTTTTGTACAGTTTTAGAGTGAAAAAAGGAAAGAAGCACCATGCAAAAAGTTGGGATCTCAAACAACCTTTACCAGGGTCTCAGACCTTAATTAGCGTGTGCAGTCTTTTCACCAAAGAGACAGACTGCCCATGAGTTTGTAAACAGAGTTAAAATAAAGCAGTATGAGAAAAAAAAGCACACTGAAGACAGCAGTGTAAGGTGGAGTGGAGTGAGGACGTGAAATCTCACATACACCTGACATGTACAGTACGAATGCTCCTACATGACCTATGACTAAACAGCCTTTTCAACAACACTGATGTATACCATTCACATCATTTAAGACTATCAAGCAAAAAAAAAAAAAAAAATTCCACATGGACAGTTGTTTCAACTGCATGTAGGCTACACTACACTGCAGCATTTCACAACTGTAATTTATCACATATTCATAAAACTCACATCCAAACTAAGCACATGTATCACCATCTGTCTGTTCCTGCTAAGCTCCAGCTGTGTGAGATATTTTTATCGGACAAAAGATGACTGATATGAGATATTTAGCTACGCAAAAACTGATTCATTTACATACTGAGAGTGAGTAATGTAGTATACGGAGTGGTGAACCCGATGAACCAAATCTTGCAGCAGAAACCAAATCATAATATTAAACACAGGAATGTGTTTTCAACTTTTAGCACTTTGAATGATAGATGAAGTGTTATGTATGAGTTTGATTGGGGCTTGAACATCGTGGTCATTTAGGAATGTGAGACTGGAAACTGTCTCCTTAATTGCTTAACTGCAAATATCATTACAACAAAGTAACTTGTTTTTCATTCATATTGAGGAGGGTAATGGTGGCAGACATAAGCACTTTATGGAACAACTTTATTGAAAAGCTTTAAATAGTGGTCCTGTAAAATTCACCTTGTTGTAAGCTATTATCATTACTGTCTGTCCTGCATCTCTCTCTCTCTCTCTCTCTCTCTCGCTCTCTCTCTCTCTCTCTCTCTCTCTCTCTCTCTCTCTCTCTCTCTTTCTGTCTCATTGTGTCATATGGATTACTGTTAATCTATCATGTTGATCTGGTCTGTACGACATCTATTGCAAGTCTGTCCATCCATCTGTCCGTCCTCCTCAGTTGCTCTTCCTGAGGTTTCTACCGTTTTTTTCCCCCTGTTAAAGATTTTTTTTTGGGGGGGGAGTTTTTCCTTATCTGCTGTGAGGGTCCAAAGGACAGAGGGATGTCGTATGCTGTAAAGCCCTGTGAGGCAAATTTTGATTTATGATATTGGGCTTTATAAATAAAACTGATTGACTGATTGATTGATTGCCTTAAAACACCTATCCAAGGCATACCCAGATTAAATTGAAAGCTGTACTTGTTCCATCTTTAGTTCATGTACATGCATTGTCTCATTTGAAAGGTAACAACGGTCAATCAGAAGCATCATTGAGTTATGTACGTTTCAACACTGAAATAAAAGTTTTTTTTAATCTTTGCCTGAATATTGTGCTGCAGATGACAAGAACTGGGAGGCATTTGCTAGAAAACACAATAGGACCAAAGCATGAAGCCTCACACAGTCAAAATTTCAAGTAGATAACAGTATCACAGAAAATAAACTTTTTTTTTTTTTTAAAGATTATTTTTTGGGCTTTTTATGCCTTTAATGACAGGATAGCATAGCGTGAAGGGGGGAGAGAAAAGGGATGACTCGAGCAAAGGGCCACAGGCTGGAAGTGAACCTACAGCCACTGCAGCAAGTACTGAGCCTTTGTATATGGTTGAGAGTTGGTGGTTATTGTGATTGTGAGCACTGGCGAGACGGAAATCAAAAATCAATAACGGACATGGATCGGACAAGGCGTCTTGGTGCAGTTATAGCAGCAGGATTGCTGTACCTGCAGGCTGAGGAGTAGGCTGCCCAGCTGAGGAGGCAGATCCGAGAAAGACAGCGGAGAATGAGGCGGAGGATGAGGATGAGACGTGCTATGTTTGCATGTCTCTATTGTTTGATATGTTTGTCCAGTTGTGGACAAAGTCCCCAGAAAAAGTAGTAATATCACAACAAAGAACAAAAACTCAGTCACAAGTAAAAGTGCTGCAGATCTGACTTGAGTAGAAGTATATGGGTATTGTCAGCAAAATGTAGGCCTACTTAAAATTAAAAGTTAAAAGTACTCATTATGCAGAGTGACCCAATTTCATGTGTTGTAATCATCATATGCATGAATATGTATTGAGTATTAATTGATCAATTTACATGTAGGCTACATGTAAGCAGCATTCAGATGTTGTCATGGTAGAACTAATTTTAACACTCACTCATGTACTAGTCTAATCTATTACAACGCACATCAACTTGTAAATATGAAACTTACAACATATAAAACAAACTATCTGAAAAGTAACTATAGCTATCAGATAAATGTAGCTTGAGTAGAATGTACAGTATTTCCCTCTTAGTATAAAGTAGCACAAAATGGAAATACCCAAAGTACAAGTACATCAAATTTGTACTTAAGTACAGTGGCTACTTGAGTAAATATACTTAGTTACTGTCCATCACTGCATTTGTCTCATCATTATGCTTTCTGTCTACATTTTTATGGAGACTTGACAGTTTACTTGGTACACCTAGAAAAAACAAAAGCAGTTTAATATTTTATTAAGTCTAACATTTTATTGAAGTGTTGAGTTGTAGATTGTGGTGCTGTTGAACTGTACTGGATTATACTGACAGCAGTTTCTCATTTAGTCTGTCCTCACCAATATAAATGGGATCAAACAGGTCAGATTTTAAGAGGAAAATTTTATTCAGCCACACTTAAGACATCAGGTATACAATTCATATCAGATAATCAATATTTAAAATGCTGTTGAATAAATACTACAATAAATACAATTAATCTTTAAATAAAATAAATTAATTACAATAAATTCTTAAAATCATTATTGAATGGTAAAAACACATAAATAAGCAAAAGAATACATACAAAGAACAACAATTAAATGAACAATGTTACAACATTTAATAATATAATAATATATCTTATATACTGAGACTGAATGTTGCCCATTAGACATACCTCAAATGAATTACATTTCATATTTAACCACTACAGAGATATCAGCGACGAATTTAAAAGGACTACCCGAGAGAGGCTGCTCTCGGTGGGGCAGCCTGAGCGCTCATACACATATGTTTATTATCTATGAGCGCTGACACCGCTGTCATCTAGCTGACCTCTCATTCAAGTGGGCTCTGTATTAACACATCGACCACGGGTTTGAAGTTTAAACTACGCATGAAAACACTACGTTCCGTGACAACACAACAGTAACATATCGGTAATTACGACTTTCCCTCACTTGCCATTTCCGATGATTGTTGCGAAATGCATGCTGGGATACCTGGCTGTCTGAAGTCCACACAAGTCTGCTCCGATGCATCCCCAGTAAAAGGGGTGTGGCAAGAACACATCCGGGCATTTGGACTGAACTTGGCTAGATGTGAACTTTGAATTGGAACAGTACTTGGGCTTTGACTGATGACGTGTCACAAGTCCACAAGAACACAAGTCCGCACAAGAACGCATATTGAGAAACAGCTAGTGTTTTGACTTGCCACAACAAACATGTCAGAATTTTTTTACCCAATTTTGACCAACTGGATCTGGATGAGCCATTTGAATGTGACGACCGCCCGTATTTATTTGAATACGGAGTACACGGACAGTATACATAGACGTTCATTTCTCAGTTATGCTGTCGGATAATTATACTAACAATCCGAGCCTATCTGTGTTAAAAAAATGCACTTTTAGTGGACGTATTTTGACATTGTTTGACGCTGTCTGAGTGCCCTATTATTTAATATAGTGCACGCTCATGAGCTGCAGGCAGGTCAGCCTTAGCTTC